TGGCACGAAGATGAGTTCCTTTTTCACCTGGTTGGTGGCATGAGTGGCAAGTTGCCAAATGATATTAGAGTACGGGTTGTACATTTCATCACCTGGTTAGTGGCATGAAGGAAAATACGGGTTATACATTTCATCACCTGGTAGGTGGCATTAAGATGGGTTCCTTCTTCACCTGGTTGATGGCATGAGTGGCAAGTTGCCAAATAATATTAGAGTACGAGTTGTACATTTCATCACCTGGTTGGTGGCATGAAGATGAGTTCCTTCTTCATATTTCATCACCTGGTTGGTGAGAATAAGGGCAAGGTGTCGAGGCACATTATAGCAAGTGTCGAAGACACAAAGTATGTTGAACCCTTTCGAAGCACAGTTAGCTTATGTATGGATGTGTTGGAATGTATAATGTTTATGTATTAATGTGTTGGAATGTATGATGTTTATGTATGAATGTGTTAGAATGTGTGATGTTTATGTTGATTGATATGAGTGATGCTTATGAATGTTTTGTTATGCATGAAGGGATCCATGCTTTTGATATGTGAACCATGTTGGTTGTAACACTTAGTATCACATACTTTGTGTCAAAGTACGCATGTTGAAGCTCTGAGTTGGAGTATAAGGGTAGGTCAGCGTAGACCAAGTGTTCCAGTGCTAGGAATGCAAAAGAGTCAGAAGAAGTTGTCTGAATTCCCTCTTCTTTAAATATTTACCAAATGGCTTGTGTGACAAAAGATCTCAAGCGGTTGAGAGTCAAAACATTTGTAATGTGTATGCCTTCTTATAATAGCATTTCTTTCAGTACCTAGTCTTCCACTTTGAAAGAGTGAGGCTTGGCCCCATAGTTATAATAGCCGACGGTACGTTCACCCCTGGTTGTCTTGATACGAACTTTTATCCCTCTTGTTGTAATGGGCTTGCTGAGAGTAAAAATCCTTCCTCTTACCAAGAGACAGATACGTTTGGTGACTTAGCGAGTAGCTAAATGAGGTAGGAGACGATGCAATGGGTGTCTGAATGGCCAATATCTCCTCACTTGGTAGAACTTGACTTCTACTTCCCACTTGTTGATTGGGGTTAACCATATGGGGGTTCCCTTGGTATGTCCTTGCTTCGGCGGAGGCATGGTTGTAAACATGTGCCATCACCTCAGAGTAAGTCTTCTAAGTGTTGGCATTGATCATGTAGTTGAAGAACCAATCACGTAGGCCTGCCGTGAAGGCCTTAAGGGCGGTCTTGTCATCTGCCTCAGCGCAGCGAGAATACTCATGGCTGAATTTACCGGCATACTCTCGTAGTGACTCATCCGGCTTCTGGCGAATAGTGTACAAGTCATCTATAGAATGCAAGTGATCGGTCTAGAATATGTGTTGAGAGACAAACAATTTCCTCAGTTCCTCAAATAAGTCTACTATCTCAGGTGGAAGATGGCAATACCAGTTTAGAGCTCCGCTAGAGAGGGTGGAGGGGAAGAGAGGACATCACTCTTCGTTGGTGTGCATCCGATATGCCATGGTGGAATCAAAGAGGTTAAAGTGTTCAATCGGGTCCTCATTTCCAGTATAGAGTTGCAAGCCAAGCTTGTGCTTTGTCTTTGCTTGGAGGGGGGTGTCGAGGATCCTCCTTGTAAGAAGGTTATGCCTAGGTTGGTTCCAATTAGGTATCTCGGCATGACGTTCGGCCTTCAACTTGTTTACTTCCTCAATGAGCTGTAGGACTAGGGGGTCTTGAGTGAAGTCATGTACCACTGGGATTTTCTTTCGTAAGTCTACATCGCCTTTTGGAAGTAAGAAAGTTTGTGCAAAGGCGTGTGATTTTTCCTTGGACTCGCCATACTGACTTCTAGGGCGAGTCTGTCAGAATACCTCAGAATCCCATATACCGTCATGTTCCTCTGGGACCTGTCGTTCCTTCCCTAGATTGGCAGCTGGGCTGGGTCGTAGGAGGGGACTGAGTCTTTCAGAAACCATTGGGTCATTGATCTTCGAGCATATGTGGAGGGGATTCTCTCGACGTTACTTTAGGAAGTCTTGGCAGTCACAATAAACGACTTTCGATCATTCCAACCCTTTTGCAATGAGGTGTCTTCCTTCACTTCTCTTACTTCGGGTCGAAGCAACTGGGTTAAGAAAAGTCTCATGTTGATCAATGTTTTGATGATTAGCTCGCTCTTCATCAGGGATACCCATGTCGAAGGAAGGTGACCCTCCGTGTTGGGGGTCACCCAGATGATGGTTGATGTCTACAGGGGCAACAAGCTCGCGTGTTTGAGTGCGCCTAGTTTCGTGGAGCGTCTCAAAGAGCTTCTCATACTGCTCTTGGAGGACCTTATTCTTCATTGATATCTTGTTGTTCTGAGCTTCTAACTCATCGACTTTAACTTGAAAAGCAACCATCTTTCCTTCCTTCTTTCGTTGTTTCGCACTAGGTGCAAGAGGGGTGTCATTCTGTATGTTGTGGCTTCCTTCACTCCCCATGTTGGAGAGGGATGCCTGGTCAAAAGAGTGTGTACGAATGGTGGAAACCAGCTTGACAAAGTTGAAGAGAGTGGGAATAAGTGTCGTTCCCACAGATGGCGCCAAATGTTAATGCACAAAATCAGTAAGGACTTTGGTCCAACAAAAAGTGTTAAGTTTGTGACCTTCGCTAGATTGCTCCGGTCATTAGTGTGGATAAGTATGTAAATGAATAGAGATAGGGAAGCAAACACAAGATGTACATGGTTCACCCAGATTGGCACAGAGTAGAGGAGTTCTCATTAATTGTGAAGGGTTTACACAAGTACATAGGTTCAAACTCTCCTTTAGTGAGTACTAGTGAATGATTTAGTACAAATGACATTAGGAAATATTGTGAGAGAATGATCTCTATTTATAGAAGAGAGTTTTTAGTTTCATTCTGACATTGACACGTGTCGTGTTGTGATTGGCTTCTGATGTTGACACGTGTCGCGCTAGATTGGCTTTTGATGTCGACACGTGTCGCGCTGTGATTGGCCTCCTGGTTGGAGGGAAACTTTTCTAGGTCCTTGACGGTATAACGTTGACCGGTGCTCAGTAGTTTCGGGATTGGTCAAGTATGGTACAAACATGGTTATTACCTTGATTTCGTATTTAGTATCCTTTGTGGATATGACTTGGTTTTATAAATGTGTTTTCTATTAAAATGTGATTTTAATAATTAGCCATCAATCTAATATTATGAAATATGATTTGACTTATGCATTGGAAATATTTGTGAAATGTGATTTGAAATGCATGTTGAATTGTTTGATGAAATGTGAGGGCTAGTAGTGGACCTGTAACCTATTGTCATAGGGTTCGTTGCTTCAAAGCTTGTTTCATACCTCGTTTCATTGAGCTGTTCTAAAATTAAGTACTTTGATTCATGTCTCTTGCTTCTTTGAGTCATTGATATTTTTCTTGGACCTCTACTCGGCTCAGATGAGTGGTTCAGAACTGGGTTCTGCTGGGGTTTCATTGAATAGTCTGGTTCCCTGCTTCGTCAAGATTCCATTGAGTGGTCTGAAATCCCCCGTGCTCTGTGATTTCGTTGAGAGGTTCGAATCCCTTCTACTCTGCGATTCCGATGAGTGGTCCGAAATTGTATCCTGGTTTGGATTTCGTTAGGTGGTCCAGAATCCCACTTGGTATTTTGGTTCTGTTGAGTGGTCCGGAACCCGATGTTGTTGGATTTCGTTGAGTGGTCCGAAATCACATTCTTCAGAGATGTAGGCTTTGACTGAACTGTGTCACTCTAACCCTGCATTTTGGTGTATTGTATGAGTTATTAATTGACGTGATTGTGGAATGGTGTTGGAAAGCATATGTGTGTGTGAATTGCAAGATGACAACTCTTGTTTGGCTTATGGTTGATGTGTAGTGTGGTACTCTATGTTTTCTGCTAGGAAGTGTTTTACGAAAAATTCAGAGTTTAACAAATTGTGAACTACGAATGGCTTGATCTCGTCGGAGGGTACGTAAGCAATCTAACAAAAATCAATACGCAATTCGAAGCTTGAGTTATGCTTTGTCAGTATCCTGAAGGCTGGGTATGTTAGATATACGAGTACTTGGTAACGTCACGTGTCGATCATGTACGTATGTCAGGATCGGGGCGTGACAGTCTAAGTCCCGGCCACGCTACCAGCATTACATTATTGGGCCGAGACTTACAACCTTCTTTCTGGGTTGTCAACCAACTCGGCCCAAACCCAGGGTTTCAAACTCAACACAAACACTTAAAATAAAATAAAAAGGATATAAAAAAGGGAACTTTAACGAAAAGCACCCGGTACTGTTCACTTTAACGAAAAACCACATTTTTACACTAAAAAGTCAATCCTGGTACTATTCACTTTACCCTTTATTTTGTCCTTATCGTTAAAACTCAAAGTTTTCAAGCCATTTTCATTAGTTTTCCTTATAAAAAAAGGTATCTTTAGTAGTAAAACTTCTCTATCGAAAATGGAATTGGTCATGAAAGGTATTTTATCACGGTGAAATGTAACATTTTTTGTCTAAGAAATACCCACAAACTACACTTCTTTTTTTTTAACAAACGATAGTAAGTAAACTAAGGGGGAGAGGGAGTTGACTAAGTCTCACATTGGATTAGTCATAATAATATGGTTCAAATTCGCCTTTGGCGATGATCGAACATAAGACCTCTCACTTACAAATGAAGAGAAATACCACTAGACCGTAATACTAAGTAGCACCCCCAAACTATACTTAAGGCACATAAATTGTCTCGTCAAAAGGCTAAATTTAACCCAAAAAATTTGAATTCGTTATATTATATCTCGTAAATTTGTTATACCACGTAATATTATTCCAGTACCATAATAATTTTCTCCATTTATTGTTACTGCTAGTAGACTTAATGATGGAAACCGTATCTTTGTTGGACCTTTGTTGCTAGTAGGCTTAAATGGATCGTATTTAATCAGAACAGAACAGAAAGTTAGAGACAGAGAAAAAAAAAATAGACTATTAGCGAATGTATTGATAAATAAGAAATATATCTTCTTGATCTGAAGTTTGAATAAACACTGAAGATTCGCGTTCAACAATCAACATGAATCGATTCATGTAAATAAGTAACAGTAATAAACCGAAATATACGGTAAAAATGGTATGGCAATTTACAAACGCATCTGACTCTTCAGTCTATTGCATTGCAACTCTTTCTAACAACGCCTTGATTCCCAGTTAAAACACCTGAGTTGGAGAGCTTGACAAAGGCAGAAGAAAATGCCTGAAAGAAATCATCCTGATTCGCAGCGAAACGCTCGACAACCATAGCCGTGCGCGGGTCCATTACCATTTCAGCATCAATTCTAAGAACCCCATGGCCTCCAATTACATTATTGTAGTAGTGGTTGTCAAATGTAAGTGTTGTGGGATCATTAAGAACAAAGCTTGTATTTGATGTCAAAGAACCTTGTGGACAGTTGAGCCTTAAGAACGCTTCAAACCCAGGTGTCATGCCTTGTACTTGGCCGCCTTCGTCTGCTTGGTTTAGACGATTTAGGATGTTCAAACAGTGCGTGACTCCTAGCGTGTGCGCACCTGCAGAAACGCAACACTCTGTAGTCATGTAACGAGAGGCAGAAACCTAATTGTAATTAACTAGTCTCTCAAATTTGACATTTCGGTTTCTTGAAAGAAAGAAGGCTAATACCCATGATGGCCACAGATTCTTCAACTGTCATTCCTTTTTTTGCAAATAATTGAAGCATGCCATCAACTCCAATAGTGGGAGAAGGAAGCAAAGAATCTGCAAGCTTGTAGCTTGGAGCAAAAGGGGAATCTCTCCTTCCCAAAGCAACCTTTATTTGTGGCCCTCCTGACACAACCACAGCTTCTCGAGCCGCCAACACAAGAATGTCAGCACAAGATACCTGTTGGGGACATTGTAATTCAACCATTGATTTAAGAATGTTTATCGACTCCCTCTTTCGGATGCCGAAGTTTTTCCCTGCGGCCATCTCTGATGGCACAACGTTCGCATTCGGATCCACAAGAATTGAAGCATCACAGCCCTGCAATTACATTGTCAAGCAATACTTATTGAGCAAATAACTGAACTCAGACATGATAAGCTGAAAAATAAAATATATAATACCAAAGTTACTTTTTTTAAAGCATGCACATCAGCCCCCATTTTTGGAACCAATGTCTCAATTGCCAAAATTGATATATTATATACACATTTTTTAGAAAGGGAATCAAGTAAAATTCTTAAACAGAGACATGGTTGACTGCAATGTAAGGGAGTTCAGAAACGTTAGTAGACGTCTCGAGAAGAGTCATCTTTTTTGTTTAATCGTCTACATATATGTGTGTGTATAAAATAAAATTGGAGGGAGATTACCTGAACTTGGCAATCATGGAACATGAGCCTCAGAAAAGCAGCAGGAGAAGTAGGATCAGTGAGAAAAGTAGGCTGGATGGCAGCTCTAACTATGGCTTCAACTTGTGGGCATGAATTCTCATAGAAATTATAAGAAAGGCCTTGCCCTTCAACCCAAATGCTGAAAACAAACAGAGATATTCCTACAACTATAGCTCTCAGATTCATTGTGATGATTGGCTGCAGTACTATTAAATCACTGCTGCTGTGACCGACCGTTTGAAAACTCAGAACTGTGTCTGTCTGGCACCCCCAGTAGCCAGTAGTTGAACTTAAAGAGAGAGAGAGAGAGAGAGAGAGAGAGAGAGAGATCAAATATTTCTTTATTTTTTTTCTTTCATATGTTGATGCAATTATGAACTTGTAAGACTTTAAAAATATTACAATAATTCAAGAGAGGGCGAGTTTCCCGAAACGCACGGGTGATAACTTAACACCCTATCTATTAGGATATTGAACCATGTGTAGGAATTTAATAGCTGCTAATTACAAGCAGGTGTGAAAAGAAAAGGTATTATAAGAACAGTGATGAAAATTGGAAACCTTTTAAATTAAAGGGTTTGCAAATTACCAAAACAAGAGGGGGTTTTCAAATATGACAGGGATATCAAATATTTCTGTCAAATGGTTTTTGCCACGCCAAATAATGGCTTTTAATACATTGCATGGCATCGACCGGATGAACAGTTTATCCTTTTCCAGCGTCAGCTCATCTTGTAAAGTAAATGCTAGAAGTCTACTTGTAGTTTGACACTGAATTTTCTTTCTTGATGTAAATTTCATATCATAGATTTTTAGTTTTCATCAGTTCAATTTTTTTTTAACAAAAGATAGTTGGCTCCTTAGATGTAAAGCGTCATTCCTTCATGTGAACAAATTATGAAATGATATGGGTGCAAAAACTTTTCTTGTTGTAATTATGATGAATTACATTAATTGGAATATAAAATGGTGAATTGCTCATCTATCTTTATATGAATTAAAGATAAATGTCTCTTTACATGTAAGAAATGGAACAATATTTTTTTTTACAAAACACTAACCGGTAGTAATCATAACCAAATCAACTACATCCCACCTTTTTACCATATGGCTAGCTAATGATATACTTCCTCGTTCATAGTAATTCGTAGAAAGCTTTATCGTTGATGGTAATTACTAATTAGTAGAAAATTTTACTGAAATAGCACAAGCTAAACATAGGTCAAGGTTCGATCCCTTTCAAAATTCAGGCCTTAGGGTTCGACGTGAGTGCTTGAATAAAAAAGGCGAAGATAAGCTTGGTGGTTGACTAGACCTGAAGATCTTAGCACTAGAGAAGAACAACTTTGAAGAGCACTTGCCCAATTCATCATATGCTTCTCAATACCAGGAAATTAAGTTAGCATGGTTCCCACAAACTTTGATTATTTTGCTTTGTCAAAATCAAACATGTAATGCCCTTGATAATTGATCACAAATTCATATCTAAATCCCCACAATTTTTTGTACATTTATGATCTTGTAAATTTAATTATTGGATTGAGGAATTAATGCTCCCTGCCTCTCGGCATTTCTATATATACATGTTAGATCAAAACTAAAAAATCAAAACCGACACCCAAAAGGTGAAATCAATTGTAGACTCTGTATAGTTTGGTCCCTCTTGGTTTCGAAAACGACTTGCAACTACCACGGTAATGAAACAAGAATCTTGAAAACCTATATGTTTTTGTGCAAGTCATGGTCTTAAAATTACTCAACTGCATTCATGAAAGCATTTTTAGTGTACTCGTAACACTATCATGTAGTATTATTATTTCACTCAAATTATGACATGTATATTTGTTTTTTTTAATTTACTTTAAAAGTCGTATATATCAATACCGTCGCTCATCACTATTATATATAACAAGTTACTTGAGTAGAAAGATATACAACGTGATAAGAGTAATCTGAATACATTTACAAACTTCTCTGTATCAAGAATGCAAGGAACAAAATAGTAACGTGTCGAGACGAGAAAATAGACAGTGAATGCGGCAGCAAGAATGTCATGAGGCTGAAACTTTCACCGTGTAGATCTTCTTCTTCTTTGATCTACTTTCACCGACTTGGTTTTTGGGTGGTTTTCATAGAGAATGCATGTCAACCGCAACTGATCAGAAGAATAGACCGAGCACTGCAAAATGTGGGGTTTGGACCCAACAGTTGGCTGTGTATCCATTTATGAAGTCTAGCAAGTCATATTCAGGGTGTTTTGAGGAAGGCTTCACTTGTTAACCCTAATTAACTATAAAATCTATCAGAGATATAATTTCTGTGTCCTGGAATGTAATCTCTTACATACTCCGAATAGAAACTTATGAGTACTAAAATATTATAAGCGATATTTTTACTCTAAACTACACTGAAGCGAGAATGAAGGTTTTGAACTCGGGACACAGTAGGTTAAAGAGGAAGATCCTAACCACTAGAGCAATCCACTACTTGTATATAATTAACTTAGCTGCATTTATCATTTTTGAAAGCTAAAAGGTGTTTTTGAATCAATTTTATCGCTAATAATTCCTGAAATTAACCTAACGCATCATTATGGAGCCATGTTAGCTTTTTATCTATTTATGAAGGCTGACAAGTCATATTCAGGCGTTTGAGCCTTTTTCATCACGGAAGGCTTCACTTGTTCACCAATTATTGTAGCATCTAATTTACTTGAAAATTTCTCCATCTCTCTCACACACACCCATATATATGAGTAGCAAAGCAATTGTCTCTCTAACTTGTAAGTAGATATCTAACTTCCTCCAAAAATCTTTATTGTTTTCAGGCAAAATTGTATTAATATGGTTCTTTTTGTTTACTTGAGTTTTCAGTTTCATCTCAATGGTTTTTTTTTTTCCTTGTAGTTTTATTCCGTTGGCAGTAAGTCCAATCTACCAAAGGAGGGCAACAGCTTCCATACTGAAAAACACTTGAATTTTTTATGCCAAACTCATGATGTTCAAGCTTAGCTTTTGTGTTGAAATATGTTTCAGCACAAAATGAAAGGGTACAAAACTTGTAACGAAAAGTCTCAAATTATATATTTTATATTTATTTTTTTAGGATTCGATAAAATATAGTTAGAAAATTTGAAGCTCAAAAGTGACTAATAAAACATAGGAGACACTAAATAGATATAGGGATTTTATTTTTATTTTTATAATTGTTTTTTGTTACAAAGCGCTAAAAGACATGCATGGGAGCTCTATTTTGGATTCTAAATATAAAAAAAAATTAAAAATAAAAAGGTTCTTTAGATATAAGCCCTTGAAACTCCTAATTTTTAAATAAAAACCCACCTAAATTTAAACATTCAAATAAAACCCAAATTTCAAATAGTCTACCATGTAGACAAATATATGACCAACTATTACAATACATTTACAACTTATGCCACAAAATCCTAATTTGGTCAATAAATGTTATTACTCATCCTAATTATGATGAGCAATTAAATCCATATGGATATGTTACCTTTCTTGTATCATAAATATTAGCAACATATATAAATTAATTTACCAAATTAAAAAAGAAAGACATATCTTGTACGGAAAAAATAATATTGTTTGAATCATGTAATTACCTACATACAAATTAATTTACCTACTTATAAAATATTATACTAATTTACCTGCATTTTGAATCATGTAATTACCTACATACAAAAATTATACTAATTTACCTACATTTAAATTAATTTACCTACTTATAAAATATTATACTAATTTACCTACATTTAAATTAATTTACCTATTCCAAAAAAAAAATTAGTGATATTAGATAATGTTCGAATGTTGTGGGTTTGTGCTGGTAGGCAATTAAATAAACTTTTAATCTAAAGCACATAAATCAAGTAGGTAAATTAGACCATTTTGGAAGTAAATTAGACCCTTTAAATTTTGGTTTGATGGAATAGGTAAATTAGACTATTTTGTAGGTAAAAATTGCACAGAACATATCGCTTTTGTTTTGTGTATTAGGGATTGGAGTATTAGCTGAAGCTATTTTAGGTTTATTCTTGTGTTGGTTGGTAAATTAACTTATATATTTAATGCACACAATTATGAAATTAGTATTATTATTTTTCAATTGGCACGTTATAACAATTTGAAAGTTAATACATGGAATATACAATGAATGGCATGAATTATTTTGTAAAATATATAAAATTAATTAAATGGATAAAACAAGTAACTGATCCAAAAATTTCATCCATGTATTAATAGGGTAGTTTAGGCATTCGAAAAATACACAATTTAAAAAGTCAAACTTAATTAAAGAATTTGTTTAGTTGGAGGCTAGTCAATGGACTTTATTCAAAAAAATACAAAAAGAGATAGGTTTTAGTAGAGGAAAATATAGTTTCAAGGGTTAATATCAAATTTTCAGTAAAAAAAATTACAAAAACTCCAAGCTCATTTTAAGCGAAGAAAAAAAAATGCAATATTATCAAATTATTGATGTAGATCAGGGGATGATGGAAAAGCAAGTCAAAAGGCATAAATCGGGCCATAAAAGCCGAAGCTGTTGTAATATTATAAGCCATTTAGGGCTGGTTTGGTATTGCTGTGCTTTGAAAAAAAGCTGCTGTGAGAATAAGCGGCTGTGCTGTGAGAATAAGCGGCTGTGAAATAAATCAGCAGAGTGTTTGGTAAACTTTTTTGTAAAAGTGCTTTTGGAAAAAAAAAGCAGTCTGATAGTGGATCTTTTCATTAAAGGAGCACTGTAGTTCTATGTGCTTTGAAAAAAAGCCAGTTTTCCAAAGCTACAAATTGCAGCTTCAGTTTTTTCCTTTGATTTCAGCTTATTCTCACAGCAGCTTCCAAAATAAGCCCTTTTTTTAAGTTTACCAAACACCAAAAACACTCCCAGCTTTTTTTCATAGGAGCTTTTTTTAAAATCACCTCAACCCCAAACTGGGGCTTAATGTGTGGATGGCCAACCCACTACAATGCCACTCATCCTATTCTACAGTCCTCCCACTGCAACTTTGTTTAAAGTTTTGCCTACAAAATTGATGAGGAGGAGAGCAGATAGAGATAGAGAAACAAAAAGCCATACGGCTGAGAGAGGAAGAAAAAAGAGGGGAATAAGAAAGAGATAATAGAAAGAGTTGTCTTTGTAATTTTATTATTTTATATTATAAATAAAAACATCACTGTTGCCCAGATGACGTACTCCAGTCACAATGACTGTAGCGTACCGTTTGGTACGCAGACGGGATTGGACAAGACAAAACAGAGGTTCTATGTTATGTTTGATACGCTCAAGATGGAACGAGACGGTTGTTCAGGATGGAACAGAGGTTCCATGTTATGTTTGGTACGCACAAGATGGAACGAGACGGTTGTTCCGTTCTGCGTTTGGTACGTACTGGACGGGACGGGACATTTTTTATTTTTTTTTTTGAACTCGTTCATATTTGAACACATACATGCTTATCTATGATATATTTTTTACAATAGCACATGGCTAAAGATATGTTATGTCATTTCTTGACTGAAGAAATAGCAGAAGAAGCAAAACGAAAAACAATGGCAGAGAATTTAGAGAGAGAAAGTGAATAATTAAAGATTGTATTCCTTGACCAATGAATGAATTACAGAGAGGTGTTTGTTATTTATACAAGTTTCTCCAGAGCTCTTCTCAGAAGACTTCTTCTTGCACAACCACTTGCCCTCCATCTACGGTTTGATTCTCCAACTCCCCAACTAGCACATCACAATGTGTTCATCTACAACCACAATTACAATTTTACAGAGTAATAAAAAACCCACCTCGAATCCTCTTCAAAGTTGCACGAAACAGAAGATGAAAGCCTTAAATAGTTAGCCAACAACGAAATCCTTAGAGACTGGTGCTGCACAACTATAACTCCAACTAATACAGCAAAGCATTTCAAATTCAGGAAGCAAATTCTTTCCACCAAATCTAAAGCATTTAAGCAAAAAAAGAAAGACTTCGCTTATCACATTCTCTCACCTTTGCTTCAAATCCACTTCAAAAAACATCTAACCCAAAATATTATCACACTATAAGAATCAAAACAAAATGGATCTGCAAACTCGCTCACTTTGAAGACTCAACGATTTGCAGCTCCAATAGCATCACATCCAACTCAATCAATTGCTTCTGAAATAGTGAAAAAACCATGACAATGTGCAATCACTAAATACCCAATTCTCGAAATCACAATAGAAGAACAACCCAATTGATAAATTTATGAAATTTTGCAGAATACCCAGTTTCAGAAGCCAAAATTGCATGAATGGAACAGTGCTCGCATCAGAAAATAAAAGGGAAAAAAACCAAAATATCTAACACAAAAGATCCAATTTAAGAGCAACCCAGAAACTCAAATTCAAAAAATTATCAAAAACTTTGAAGTACTAAAATTCAACTTAGAAAGAATAAAAGGAGGAAGATCCAGATTAAAGAACCAGCTTTTTCCATCATACAAAGCCAAGCTCACAACCGAACCCACTAAATCGCACAGCTCGGAAACAGATCCAATTCTTTACAAACCAGAATCGTAATAAACCTTAAAAATCAAACTTTGTTCATTTTCCCAAGCACAAGATAAACCAAAGAAACCAAGAAAACTAACTTATTTTCTCATAATCATCCTATTTTCCCAGAAAATTGAAAATTTTCATGGAAAAATCAAGAAAACAAACCTGGAGATGCAGCAGCTACGGGAGAAGATTGAGATCAAACCTGGAGATGCAACGGCTACGGGAGAAGATCAAGATCGAACCTGGAGATGCAGCTGCTACAGGAGAGGATGAGGAGGAAGCCTACGGGAAAAGGCAGCAGCAGGCAGAGAAGATGGAACGAAGAAGATGGAATTTTAGGGTTTGTTTTTTTGGATGGTGTAAATATTGATAAAGATAAGGGGTGTTTTTGTCTTAAAATGTTATAAATTTGTATTCCACAGAGGTGGAACGAGTCGTTCCAGGGGGAGTGAGGCGGAACCAAAATTCAGCCAAAACACGTTCCACCAGTTTTTGGCATACTAAACGTGGGACAGAACGCCTCGTCCCATTGCGTTCTGTCCCGTCCCATACCAAACGCTACCTAGAGGAACCTCGTAAATTTTGTGTATTGTTTCATTCATTCCACTGCACACAGCGTCAATTTTACAATACGTTATCAACAAAAGAAGCTCTCGTGTCAGTGGAAAGCATAACGCCACAAATCATATACACCTCTGTCGGTTGAAATCTCACAGATAAGAAAATCTTTTCATTTCATCTTAAAATCTTTGTACTATTAATTTTCTTGAAGTAACTATATATATATATATATATATTGTTGTATGACTATATATCATCTTTTGCAGAAGCAAAAGGGTACAGACTCAAAATTCGTATAGAATCTGACAGCCATGTAAACCTCGGAACTCTAACTTGCAGACCTCAGATCGAAATACTTTCTTCTTCAAAGTTGTTCCCGCCAAGTACTTACAACATATCAAATTTTCAGAAAATGCCAACGGTGCGATCATCGCAGATGCCTGAAATACCAAACCAGTTTCCAATTTCCGCAGAAAATTAGACAGGCACCTTATAAGTACCAAAACTCCATTTTGGTAGCTCAAATCGAAATTGTTTCTTCACAAAAGTTGTTTGGTATCCTCTTATCCATATCATACTAAAATTTGAGGTAAATGTAACAGTTTAATCTTCTCATAAGTTGTAGACACTCTTGACTCCAAAACTTATGGAAACCGTTTCGACTCTTTCGAAACTCACCGGATGAGGAACACCAATTGAAACTTATTGTTACTATTATTTCCTAAGTAACCAAAATGACTTCAGAACTGTGAAATAAAAATAAAAGTAATCAAACAAAAGAAGTGGCAGACTAAGAAAAAGAAAAAGCAAAAGATGAGAACTTAATCATTGCATTTTTTGTTTTGGCATATTTATGTGCATGGTGTTGGTTTAAAGCCCTATCACAAGTTCTGTTTATCTACAGTGGGTAGAATTATTACCCTTTGCTTTAAAGCTTTGATATTTATGTAAATGGTGCTGAATCAAAGCCATTGTCACAAGCTTTAGTTACTTAAAAACAATTTATTTACCATGGATGGAATTACCGCCTATTACTTTAATTTATTTATTGTACTTCTTTTTGTTACGATGAGTATATACTGGACCCAAAGTTCATTGATTAGATCAGAACCTGAAGTTTCTTGATCCTCATCACATAAAATGATTAGACCTGAAGTTCCATCATGCAAAAAGATTAGGAATGAAGTCCCTAGATCCTCAAGATTGGACATGAGGTTCCTTGATGAGTACCTTAAGTTTGAAGAGCCGAAGTGCCACAACTTAATTAAAGGCCATGAGAATCTCAATTCATAGGCTATTAAATAAGGACCAGAAGTTCCTTGATTTATGTAAATGATGATATAATGCATATTTGCTGGAGAGTTTACATCTCAAAGTTTTGATGATTATTGCATGTCATTGGGCATTGATGTTGAACGTCATGTTCCTCATGTCCATACCCAAAATGGTTTAACAGAAAATTTTATTAAGCGGATGAAATTGATTACCACGCTCTACTCATGAAAATGAAATTTCAAGTTTTCTACATGTGGACATGTCATTTTACATAATTCACTATTAAATTTGATTAAGACCAGTTACCAACCATTGATATTCCTCAGTACAACTCGTGTTTAGGCACTAGCCAAACATTACACATTTACGAGTTTTTTGTTATGTTATATATGTTGGAAATGTGCCCTAAAGCCAATCATGTGATGATACTTTACGGACATTTCACATGTTAAACTAATCTAGTTTTACATATAAAGGGCAAAGATTATTGTTTGAGCCGTCTCATATAAATGTTATATGCTTAAACGATAAAGTCCAAGGAATATGTGATTGGGAGAATGTAATCTAATGAAGTTAGATTCATGAGACCATTCTTTCGTAGACACATCCTAAATGTTCCTGATCATAGGATTGTCAATTGGGCATTGACAGTCCGTTAAGATCGGTACGTACTATGTCTTCTCTCAGGGAGAGTGATTAGTCTCGAGTCATTGGTGTGTGTGACATCAAGACAAGTTCGTAGGTGCTCAATAGAGAATGAGTACACTGAACGTGATCAACGAAGAGTTCTCATATTCCATGTCACATAAGAACTCATGGTTGGGATAATGCAAAGTAGTCCTTTGACCTGAGGCATCACAGTTGTCTTGTGGTTAAGTCCTTGATCTTTGATTATGTCAAAGTCACCCCCTCGGGGTGTCCACGGCATCGTTGGGGTCAAGTGACTTAGCTATGGAGACAAGTGAATGCGCAACAAGGGATCTCTAACCTTCAAACAGTTGAGGGAGAATACTCTATGATATGATTTAGATTTAGAATCTCTGGCCAGAGTATGAATGAGATTAGGGAATGCGTTCCAAATCACATTCAAGTAAATCATATAAGCACAAGATTCACATTGGATAGTAGACATGAACAAATAAACTATCAAACCAAACAATGTGGTCAAGAGTATTAGATTAGAGAAAGACCGTATTGCATTTGTAATCCCGAACTGAATAGGTTCTCTAACCTCTTCTGATTAGCTTGGGTAACCATGACATGCTGCTAGGCGTCAACCATGGTTTGTGGAAGCCCTAAACGTGTGTAATCACTAAAGGGAGAATTGAAAATAGTTTCAATTCACAATCGATGTAAAATGGTTTTAATCGCCCACTACCTCGCTAAAAGGAACCTAATGGATCGCACACCATAAAAGGTGGAGATTGAAGATTAAACGGAGATGAGTAAGAATGATTAAATGGTTTAATCATTTAAATTATGGCAAGGATTAATTAATATGTTAATTAATCAAACGAATAAGTTCGTTAAAGACCTCGGGATAGTTTTGGACCTTAAGGCCCAATGGGCTTCGAAAGTCAAGCCCATTGACTTAAGTTGTATGACAACTTAATGAATAAAGATTCACAAAGGCCCAAAAGCCCAAAAATCCCTAGGTAGGCCGGCCATGTTAGATGAATTAGGGTTTTGGTTCTTTAGGTCACTTATTTGAAGGGACTATATAAAGGACTTTATAGCCAAATATTCATAAGGTGATTAAGGGTTTTTATTTTGGGGAAAATTGGTGAGAAGAGTCTCTCCATTTCTCTCTAAAGAGGCCAACACCTTGGAGGGTACATCTAGCAATCCTAACAACTCCAAGGTCACTCATTTCTTCTACAATCTAACCTTGGTGAAGAGACTTAGAGGTTTTCAATTTTGGGAACTTGGAGAACCTATTTTTCCATCCAAATCCATGGATCTAAGAAGCAAGGAATGAAGGCCCTATCTCTTTGGGTGATTAGCCTTTGCTTATGCAAAGAGGAATCCACAAAGGTAAAAATTTCAACTCACTTTGTTATGAGTTGATTATTGGTTCACCAATCTATTAGGCTTTGAATTTCATGGTAATGTTTTGTTTTTGGGTGCATACAAGCATGATTCCGCCTTTAATTGTTAATTGCATGCTATATGATGTTGCTCAAATGAACATGTTTTTCAAAATAATTCCTTCAATATATGTGCCTATTGCACTGACATAATGTACTAAAATAAGGCATTGATACAAACTGGAAATTTATGTTGGATTTGACTCACCATCTATCATTCAGTATTTAGAACCCTTTACTGGGAATATGTTTACCGAATGGTGTGCAGACTGTCATTTTGATAAGACAATTTTCCCGTTGTTAGGGGGAGAAAATAATACCATTCCAGAAGAACGATGAGAAAATACATTCCAGAAGAATGATGAGAAAAGACCTTTCTAGAAGAACGAAGAGAATTTGTCTTATTTTGATTCACGAAACAATCAATGAGAAAAATGAAGTGAGAATAATTGAATGATGCAACGATGTGCAAAACAAATGCCAAATGCATTTAATGATTCAACGAAAATGATAAAATCATATATACTAGCTGCAAATGTGCCTACAAGAATTGATGTCCTTGTTAGGACAATGTGGCAGCAAATGATTTATATGTTGCACGCCTGAAGCGTGATAGATCCTTAGATTCTGAAGGTTCAGTCATTCAAAAGAAGAAGAATATGGCACTACTAAACTATTGCATTCCTGAAGCATAACTGTTGCATGCCGGAAGTATAACAGTCGCCGCATGGATACACGTCCCAGAAAGGACAATCCGCGGACATGGGAATTTTGATGTCTCATGCATGAAGCATGATAGACATATAGGTTCCAATGACTCAACTCCCGAAGTAGGGATTAAAATCCAAGCTCTATAACGCTTAAGAGGAGGTTATGTCTGCATTCTCTAAACTATGACTATCCTGGAAGAGATAGTATAATGCCCTTGAAGAGGCAATGGATATCCAAAGAAATGAAAAGCTTTTATGCATATGCATGCACATGAGAATAAGGGATCACTGATTGATGATAACCAATGGTAATTTTGGTTTTTATAAGTAGATACTAAATTCATCAAATGAGCTGTGTTGATATTGAGTCCCTTTTTTTTCGTGAAAGGAAAAATTATTGGCCAAAGATGAAGAAAGGCAATTCCATTAAACGTGGAAAAATAGACCTATATACTTGAATACAATACAAATAGCTAAAAGATGTTAAACCTAGAAGGTTACATATGAGCATTTGTAATACAGTGAAATACACTCACATGATATGATACAAGGTTACTAATTGAAACCTGAAATTATACTTCTGTAAACGAGTTCATATAAATGGAGAATTATATACAAAAGGTTATGAGTCGTCCACATCTTATGTTCGTAAGTAAATCCCTTAAGTATACATGGGAGCAAATTGCTCTGTATAAATTCCAAAGGAGAATGTGTCATGAAGTGTAGAAAATCCCTGAATGTTTCAAATTGCTTAAAGTAAGCCCCCGAAAGGTAAAGCGTA